TTGGGAAGGGCTTGGCACAAAGGCCACATGCAGTAAGTGCTCAGTAAATGCTGTCTAAAGCTCCCAATAAATATGAACTCACTTTTCGCCCACACAGGTCCTTGGAGACCAGCACCACCACCCTCTCAGCACAGATGGGAAAACCAGAGCTCAGAGGAGTTAAGCCACTTGGCTGAGGTCACACAGCACATCCGGGGGCAGCTGAAATCCAAGAGCTGTGCTGCCTCTTGCTGACATTTTTATGGAGAACTCACGAGGTACCATCTGTCCCCAATGGTGGCAGCACAGCCTAAGGACACATTTCATGGATAACCAAGTGGAGACCCAGAGAGAGGCTGTCCCTGTGCCCAGGCCAGTGGGGGAGCTGGGAGGAGGAGACCAGGTGGCAGGGGCAGGACCTCAAGTGGGGACATGAGCAGGTCCCTGGGGTTCCCAGAGCAGACAGGGGTCCCCAGTAATTTATTCTACTCAATGACTGGAGATTAGACCATCAGCAAGCAATAAAAACTGGGTGACTTTCAATTAGGGCTGGGGAAGGGGGGCCACAGTGACCATTCAGAGGACATTGAAGTGTCATTTATACCAGTGGGTAATTATGGGAGGGGATCCCAGGCAACCTGGCATGGGTGGGGGCCAGGCATCCCAGATTCCCTGAGTGGGACAGGCAGATCCTACACTTGGGCCCAGTTTGGGGGGCAGAAAACCTCTTCTAGGGACCCTCCCTTTAAGAAAAATCACAGACAGGCAGAAAATAAAGGACCCTGTCCCCTACAGCCTGGGGCCCGGGAGCCCTTCCCCATCTCCGAGTCTCTCACCAGTATTCAGTCACTGCCCCGTCTGGGAGGACATGGGCGACCCCAAGCAGGACAGGACCAGAAAGACGCCTGGCTGGCAAGAGGGAAGCAGGCGGGGAAGGAAGTTGAAGAGATGAAGTTGGGAAATAGTCCTCAGGGGAAGGCCTTGGGGTCAGAGGGAGCTCCAGTCCTGGTGAGTCAGGGCCCAGGACTAGAGATGGGAGTGGTGGGCGTGAGAACAGCAGTCTTGCCTCGTTTCTCACCAGCACCTGGGGCGCAGACCTTTGAAGGGGCACAGCAAACGCTTATGAAGCGCCAGCTGCGTTCCCAGCCCTGTGCCAGGGCTTCAGAGCAGGCACTGAACTGGCCCGAGGGCAGGTGGAGAGGCTGTTCTGACCATTTGATAAGTGAGGAAACTGAGGCCCAGACCCGGCAAGTGAGGAGCACAAAAGTGCCCAGGCAGGAAGTGGCCTAGCTGGGATTCAAACCACGCCATGTGGTCCTGAAACCACGTTCTACTCCTCTGCCTGGTCGCCCCCAGCATCACAGATCTGCAGCAGCTCAGTGCCCTCTCTCTGATCCCCTGCTCCACCCCCACAGCCTGTCCTCCCACAGCAGCCAGGGGGCGCCCATGAGCCAGGCCCTCCCTCCCCTGCCCACAGCCCTCCATGGCCCCCACCTCCCTCAGGGTCAAAGCCCAAGTCCTCCCTGCAGCCCACAGGGCCCTGCACGACCTGCCTGTCCCCTCCCTGCCTCCTCCTCCCTCTGTCCCCCTCGCTCCCTCTGCTCCAGCCACACGGGCCTCCTCGCTGCTCCTCCATCACCCAGGCTCGTCCTGCCTCAGGGCCTTTGCACTCACTGTGTCCTCTGTCTGCCATGCAGTTCCTCAAGATCTTTGCACAACCCGTCCATCTCATCTTCCATCTCAGCTCTGATGTCACCTTCCTCCTCAGGGACACCCTGACACCCTCAGCTGAAAAAGCCACGCCCTTCCCGGCTGTGTCATCCCACGACTTCCTATACTTCACTTGTTTCATTTATTTTAAGTTTAGTGCCCATGATCCTCCCCGCCTGTGAATTCAACAAGGACAGGGCCCAGTCTGCCTCTGTCATTGCATGTGTTTTACAGGTGGGGAAACTGAGGCTCAGAAAGGGGGCATGGGAGAGTGACCCAAGTGCTGGGGCAGCTCTCAGGGCCATACTCTCGGAGGCTCCCTCTGCCACCAGGGGCTCTGACTCCTTGGAGGGACCCGTGCATGCACAGGAAGGAGTTTCTGCAACTATCAGAAAACATGTGGCTGTCTCCTCGCCAACTTCTACACACCCATCATGATCCTAGCTGTAATGCTCCTTTACCATGCATCTTTCCAAATAAGCCTCAGTGGCTCCCTCCATCCCAGCCTTGACCCCACATAGCAGAGTGAGCCAGTAGCTGCCTCTGTTCCCCCTATCCTGGAAGCCCCTCAAGGATCAATGACACCAGAGCTGGGCTCCCAGCATCCTCCATTCCATGTGGAAGCCACTGGGACCACTTGTTGACTGACTAACTGATCTTCCTGGGTGCCCTGACCCAAGGCCCCCGTGGGAACTCCTGAATTCATTTGGAAGTTCCTTCCTAGGTTGGCCCTTGGATTGCTGGCTGAGCTGGGCCAAGTGCATCCTGGGAAATGGAGTCCTTAGCAGAGTGGACCTGTCTCCCATCACGCCTTGCCTGCCTGCCTTCAGAGCAGGTGACTGGGTTGCTCGCTGCCTCTTCAAGCAGGTAACTAGGCTTCCGGCAGCCTGTCACCTGCTGGCTACCCCTCCTCATGACTGCTCAAGATCTGAAGCCTTCTCCATCCCTCTACCCCCCACACGCATACGCTCTATAACCTTCCATAGCTCCCCACTGCCCTGTGTATAAAGCTCAATGCTCAGTGTGGCATTCACAGTTGCAGCCCACCTTGTTGTCTCCCACCCTTAAAATAGTTCAGCCACTCAGGCCTCCCCCAACAATATTTGTCCTCTCCCTTCCAGGAAAAATGCTCTCATCCTTCAAGCCTGGTGCCAGGATCCCTTCCTCCAGGCAGCCCTCCCTGCTTCCTCCTAGTACAATGCGCCTGGGCGTCTCCCCCCTCCCTCCATCATTCTGTGGGACAGGGCCACACCCCAGGGTCAGCTCAGGACACCCTCCTTGCCTGAAGACGGCCAGTGACCGGCACATCCTTCAGTCCCCAGGGACCCAGCTCACCTGTCCCTCTGGCTGACATCAGGGTCACCTTTCCAAGGGCAGAGTTTGATTTTTATCATCTTCCAGGCCTAGCCCCAGGTAACCTAGCAACTCCCGCCATGAGCTCTGGGCAGCCACTGCCAACTCCATCCCTTCCCCCAGCACCTTCTCTGACCCTTGGAGGACCGAGGCCCAGAGGAGGCGACACGGACTCTAAGGACCCACCCGTGGGTGCTCAGCCCAGCAGAGGCAGGTGAGAAGAGGAAGCAGAGTGAGGTTAGAGATCTGATCAAGTCCTAGAACCACACATCTCCTGGGGAAGACTGCACAGAGAGGGCTAGGGACCTGCCTGAGGCCACACAGTGAGGCTCCTCCAGCACTAATTCCTGCCAGAGTCGGGGGGAGGTGGGATGGAGCAGTCCAGTACAACCTTTGGTTAGTAGCAGGGATAGGGGGATCCTGGCTTTGAGGTGATGGAGGGGGTCTCTTTCCTTCTTGACCCTGTCTGACCGTCTCAGACAAGAGGCTTGGTTTCTTGCTCACTCTTCGGGTTTGCCAGGCCTCAGTTTCCCCTCTTGCTCTTGGAAATGGGCTGGTCTGGGTGGATACTCTATATAATAAGGCTTTTGCCAGGAGCCATATACCCAATACCCAAGGCGTCTCTGGTGGTTGCAATGACCCCGACAACTTCCTGGAGAGTCCAGGACCCATCCAGAGGTCCTGACAGCACCCAGGACCCCCAGCTACCTCTCCATACCCTGCATTTTCCCTAACTGGGCTTTAAAGCAATTATTACAGTCTGCAATTCCGCCAGAAAAAAATCCCTTCTAGAGTGTAGGGATGGGGTTGGGGGGGGTCTGCCTGGGTGGGGACGTCCCAGGAGTAATTCTGGAGAGACAATGTGGATGCACTGAAAAGCTGAAAGGACCCAGAAAAACATGAAGAAATGCAATTTTGCAAACCGGGCGGGGGTCCTGTTCAGTTCCTCCAGCCATAAGTCCATCTGGCCCCTCCGCCTTAAACCCAGACCCCCAAAGCTTGCTGGTGCCCTTCTGTAATCCCCGACTCCAGTGCTCCTCCGGTCTGGGGAGGGTCAGAGATGACGACCTCAGGTGGAGACAGCCAAAGACCTCAGCTAGAGAGGGACAGCCCTGGACGGGGGGCGGGGGGTCGTCGGGGGTGGGGTCTGTGGATTCCTCCCTCAGCGCTACCCTCCCCACCACACACACTCTTGCAAACACTCCCAGGTCTAGTGTTTGGCCATCTGGGCCAGGGTGGGGGTTCACTTCAGCAGCGCCCCCTCGGGGAGGTGCCCCAAACTCCCGGAGGCGGAGAGCAGGATGGGGGGCACGTGACCCCCACACCAGGGACCAATCAGCGCCCGCGGGCGGGGGGCCACACTCAGCGCCCCCCACCCAGCCCGGCGCGCTTGGAGAGAGACATTTTCTTTGTCCCTTTGTCAGCTCTTGGGGGGGCCCCCGGATCCCCCGGCCCCCACTGCAGCGGGGGGCTCCGGACTGGCCGGCCCTGGTCCCCCGCCGCCGCCCCTCCCCGCGGCCGGGCCGGGCTCGCTCTAGCCTGGGCCGGGCAGAGCTGGCGGGGACCGGGGCGCCCAAGGTGCGGCGGCCGGAGCGCGGGACGGGCGGAGGGGCCCGGCGAGCAGGAGCCCCGCGCCAGCCCCGGTGCCCTCCACTTGGCCTGGGGCCCCGCCCCCCACCCTGCCACCCTCGGGCGCCGAACCGAACCCCCACCTGGGCCCGAATCCAGCTCCCAGCGGCGCAGCCGCGAGCCCCGTTATTATGCCTCCTACGGGCCCCCCAGGACAAAATCCACACCCGCTGCGGGGCCCACAGAACCCCCATTTACAGCTGCCCGTGCAGGCCCCCGGGCGACGATCAAGGCCCCCAGCTGCGGTGCCACTAGACGCCGGTGACGGGGCCGCATGCAGCGCCCCAGGCCAAAACCCCGGCCCTTGAAAGCGATGCTCCTGGACCCCCATGTTACCACCGGGCAGCGACGCCCCGAAAATCCGGCCCCCTCCCCAGCTGTGTCGCGTCGCTGAGAGCCTCGCGCACGGCGCGCCCCAAAGCCCCCTCCCGGCCCCACATCCATCCCCGCGGGTGCCAGGGCCCGGCCCGATCACCCGGCCGCGCGCCCCCGGCCCCCGCGCCAGCGCCCGCAGCCCCCTCCCCGCGCCCCGGGCGCTCACCTCGGAGCCGCGGCCGCGAGTGCGCGGGAGGCGTGGCGCGGGCGGCGCGGAGGGGGCCGTGCGCGCACCTGTCCCGCGGCCGCTCAGCCGGGCATCCCGGGGGACGACGCGCTCTCCGCCCGGCCGCGGCGCTGCGGGGAGGGGGCTCAGCCCGGGCCCCCGGCGCGCTGGCGTCCGCTCCGGGGGGGTCGCTGCGCGGCGGCCGGACCGGGGGCGCGCCGTGGCCGCATCTCCTCCGCCGCCGCGGCCGCCGCTGCGACTCGCAGCTCCGCCACCTCCGCCCCCTCCCCGGCACCCCCCACCCAGCCCGCCGGAGCCGCGCAAAACCCGGCGCGGAGCAGCGCGGAGTGGAGGGCGCACAGAGCCGGTGGCGTGGCGCCTGGGGAGGAAAGGGGCGACCCTGGGGGGGCGGGGCACGGTGCTTTTTGTACAGGCGAGGGGCATCCCTGAAAACCTCTGATTTCCTATCCTGCTGTCCTCCCCCAGGCTTGCATCCCCAATCAGAGGCGGGGAGCATGGGGTGGGGGAGTCAGGACTCCCAGTGGTCCCCTTCATCTATGAGGTCATGAATCCAATCCACAAGCATTCCATTTATTAACACGCTAACTCGACAGGACAGGAAACTGAGGCACACGGAGGTGTCTTGTCCAAGGTCACCCTATGGAGTATGAGAGAATAGATCGGCACCTCAGCACAGTGGCTGCGGAGACATCCACGGGACACGATACCTTGGCGCTGTCCTCTGTCTCCGGTGTCCAGATGGGGTTTCTGCCCTCAGCTCCTGCTTACCTATGAGACCCCAAGACAGAGCATTCAGGTTTCAGAGACCTCCCTGCCTGTGACCTTCTGTGGGACTTTATGACAACCAAGAACCTCTCTCTTGCCTCAGTTTCCTTGTCTGTCCAAAGCATCCTTCTGTGTGCATGTAATCATGACTGTCTCCCCCACTGGGCAAAGTGCTTTCCTGGCTCTGACATCATCTCCTGTATACAAGAGGCACTCCATAGATAGCTGACATTTCTCACACAACTGTGGTGCACCGTGTCCCATCCATGATCCCCCAGCAGTCCCAGAGGCTCAGCCAGGCTGCATCCTGGCTTCCCAGCAAGGACATGGTGTCAGGACTTGAACCCAACTCCCTGCACCCCACACACATCCTGATACCAGTGGAGACAGCTGAGTCTTTTAGGGCTCTGCTCCTGCCCCAGCTGCTGGGGTAACCACAGATGTTATGAACAGCTGTCCTCCTTGTTGACAGTTTTGCCTTTATTGCCTTCCAGCAGCCCTGGCCCCAAGCAAATTAGCCACGGCAGGGGCAGGTCGTGATCCCACAGGGAAGACTGAGGCCTGCAGGCAGGGAAGAGGGCGGGAATTCATACCCTCAGGGTGGGACCGCAGCAGGGTCCCACCTGTGCTGTACCTGCCCCTGCCTGTGATTTTGTCACCCACAGCCTTGACCCTGCTGTGTTCTTGCAACCCATCCATCCAACAAACTTTTTTTTCTTTTAGGAGACACTGGGGTTTGGAGTCAAGGCCTTGCTCTTGCTAGGCAGGCGCTCTACCACCCGATCCACTCCTCCAGCCCCTTTTTGTTTTTTTTTGTGATGGGATTTTTCCAAGATAGGGTCTTTTGACTATTTGCCACTGCTGAATTTGAACCGAGATCCTCCTGATCTCTGACTCCTGAGTCTGAGTCAGCTGGGATTACAGACATGAGCTATGGGACGGGACGCCTGGCTCATCCAACAAATATTTATTGAGTGCTTGCTATGTGTCAGGGCCTAAGCTGAGCAGTCCTCAGGACAAACCCGCCCTTGGCCTGTCTAGCCAAGGAGACAGAAAACCCTGAGAACTTGACATCCAGATGTACAGGGCACTGGGGCCGCCTGGGGGGCCAACAGGACCGGGTGGAGGTGACAGGAGGACCTCAGAAGGACATGGATAGATTTGGCAAAGCCCACGGGTTAGGGTAGGGGTGTCAGTCCACAGAGAGACCTGTTTGGACAAAGGCCCCAAGGGAGGCCCCACCCCCGCCGGCCAGCTCAGCTGCCACCCAGGCTTCAGAGGCCATGAATGGGTCTTTCATGGCCCGGTCCAGGGCAAGGTCAGGCCGGGCGGCCCTTCCCCCCCGGCGGGCTCCTAGCTGTCTGAGCCCTGACCTGGAGGGGGTGACGGAAGTTCACAGCTGGCCCTCTGGGGCAGCCAGGGAGGCCCAGGGAGAGGCGAACCTCGCCTGAGGTCACCAAGAGCCACCAGCGTCCTTCTCACTGTGGGATTCTGGGAAAGGCCCGCCGTCTCCTGGGACTCAGTTTCCCGGTCTGGGCAGCGTTGCGCTCGCGTCCTGCTCCGGCTCGGAGGATTCCACTGCGGGTTTTGCGGGCGCCCGCGGCTGCTGACACCTTCTTCCCAGGATGCGGCCCCGGGTCCGAAGGGGCCCGGGGAGACCCTGGAGGGGCCGACGGCCTCGGGGACCCTGGAGTGGGGAAGCTGGGCTGGACCCTGGTCCCCCGGCGCCCGCGAGGATGGGGAGCCCCACCCTGTAGCCTAAATGCTCCCCCACCAGCTTCCCCCGGCCCGCTGTGTGACTCCCGCTGCTCCCTGGCCCTCTCTGGGCCCGGGTGGAGCCAAACTGGCTGGCAGCCGCTTGGGGAGTCACCCGGGCCGCCCCCTCCCCGCGGGCCCCAGCCTCAGTTTCCCTGGCCGGGCCGGGCACTGCTGGAGCCCAAGCTGGGGCCGGGGGGAGGGGTCTTCGCGACTCCATCGCGCCCAGGTCCAGGCTGTGACCAGGGAATCCCCTGGGGGCTGCGAAAGGGCAGCTCTGATTGGCTGAGGCCAAGCGTGACGTCAGGGCCTCCCGGACGCCCCCTCCCCCAGAGGCACGTGGGGGCGATCGCGGCGGGGGAGGGGGCCGGGGGTCCGGGCGGATTCGGGGTGTCCCCCCGGCCCGTGCTGGCAGCTGGGCGGCGCAGGCGCGATTCTCCTCGGACAGGTTTTCCCGGGCCCCCGGCCCCCCCCCCCGGTCCCCCCAAGGCAGCAGCTGCTCGCGCGGCAGATGCGCCGGCTAAATCCGCGCAGCTGGTCTCGGCCCGGCTCTCCGCCCGCAGCCCCGGTGGGGGAGTGGTGGTCCTGACCCTTCCCTGTCCCCTGTCCTTTGACCCCTGTCTGCCTCCCTGCACGGGCGCGGGTCCTCTCCTGGACACTTCCTCAACTCCAGACCCTGATGGAGCCTCTGAAAGGATTTGGGGCAACTTTTGCCCAGAGAGGGTGTTGCCCTCGATGGAGACCACACAGCACTCCTGCTGCCCCCAAAATACCCTATAGGTGCATATGTATTCATGAGCTAATAGGCACCTACTGTATGCGGCACCACCCCATGATTCTAGAACATAGCTACTGTTATCCCACATTCAAGCGTGGAAACTGAGGCCCCTGGAGAAGTGGAGTGCCTGGTCACACACCCAGGATTGGAACGCCAGCTTTTAAGCATAACGGGTTTAGAGCTCCCTTAACTTGGGGGTGCTGTTAAGACCTGAGGTGTGTGAGTAGGGGCCCTCCTGTGTGTCCCTGTCCTGTGCCTCTGAACCTAGCTTGGGCCTCTCCTCTCTTTCTTCTTGAGCCCCAGATGATGGGTGACTGTGAGAATTCCAGGGGGCCTTCCTGTAGGAGGCAGTGACTTTGTTCTGAAATGTCAGCTCTAAAGCACAGTAGTTTCATACCAAGCCTGTCCTGCCCCAGGACCTCCACACTTGCTGTTCCCTTTGCCTGCAACACCTTTCCTACAGATGTGCAGGTGTCACCTCCCCATCAAAGGTCATCACCACAGTGAGGTTACAGCCTCTGTATCGAAACAGCACTCTTTTTTCTTCCTTGTTGGACACACTCCCTCCCCCCAGTGCCTAGAATGGCCCCTGGCACACAGTAGGTTTTTTTTTTAATTGAGAAATTTCAGGAGCTGGGGCCAGTGGGGGCTGAGGGCAGAGGCATGGGGAAGGTTCATGGGGTGGCTCCATCTCCATGTGTGTCTGGGGGCCTGTGTTCCTCCTGACCATGACCCAGTCTACTGTTCCTTCATCCAGAACCCATCCCCAGGCTCTGTTTCCTCTACCTCCCCCTTTGTCACTCTGCTGCAGCCACACAGGCCTCCTGCCTCCTCCATGTTCCTCCGGTCCTGCCTCAGGGCCTTTGCACACGCTGTTCCCTCCACCTGGCAACACCCTTCTCCCAGATCCCAAATGGCTCTCTCCCTCACCTCCTCCAGGACTCAGATGCCCCGCAGCCTGCCCCATCTGACCAATCACAACTCCCCATCTCCCTGCAATCCATTTTCATCTCCCTTTGCAAAAGGTTCCACTGCCAGGATTTCTCTTATAGCTGCCTTGATCTCTTCTGGTCCCTCTGGGGCAGAGCCCCACTCTGTCCTGCTGTCTGCTATCTGTTCAGGGTCTAGAACAGTGCCTGGCACACAGTAGGCACTCAACAACTGTGACAAATAAGCAAATGAATGAATGCATCAGCCAAGGGGCTGAGGGCTCCCCAGGGCCCCCCCTCGTTGTAAGGAGGGGAAACTGAGTCCCACCTGAGCAACAGGAAGCCCACTGCCACTCACTTTCCTCCTCGGTGTGGCAGCCCCCTCTCTGGGAATGAGGAGGGGTGTGTCCAGTGAAATACTTACCTCAAGGGCATTTGTTGGGCTGGGATGTAGCTCAGTGGTACAGTGCTTGCCTAGCATGTGCGAGGCCCTGGGTTCGATTCCAGCACCAAAAAAAAAGACATACAAAAAAAAGAGCATTTATTGAGCACCTACTGTGTGCACTGCATACATTTTGATAACCTTGGAGTCACTTACTAAGCCCCTCTGTGTGCGTAGCACAACCTTGGACACTCGCACATTTTGATAACTTCAGTATGTATTGTGCACCTACTGTGTCTACCTCACAACTCTGACCAGTTTGCACATTTGCAATCCAGGTAGGGATTTGTCCCCAGGAACCCTGGCCCTGGAACTGCCTGAGTCCCCTCCACCGGGTGGGGACTGGTGGAGAAAAAAGAATGTGAGGCCCAGATGCACAGTATGCCATCAGCGAGGCAGGCAGTGGGTGTACTGGGGCCTGCGCCACTCAGGACCCCCTCCACAGCCCACAGTCTCTCTGCTCCAGGGTCCAGTCTACCCCCTGGGCTCCCCAGCCCCTCCCAGGGAGCACAGCCTGCTCAGTCCACCTCAGGGCCTTTGCATGTGCTGTTTCTCCTGACTGGGAAGCTGAGTCCCCTGGTCCTCATGTGCCTAGCCAGTGTCCCCCTTCTCTCAGAGGCCTTCCCTGACCATCCCAAGTTGTGGGGGCAACAACTCTTTTCTGCCCCTCTGTGTATCACCCCTGAAACCGTTGTGCTCATTTATGAACCAGAGGTGAAGTGGTGAGCCTCGCCTCACCAGAGGCAAGCCAGGCACAAAAGGACAAGCTCTACACCTCGGACTGCAATCTAAACCCCAATGTGTAAACCCCAGTGTGGGCACCTGCCAGCAGCGAGCAGGTCGACAAACGTGACACCACTGCTAACGACGCCCAGTACGTCTTAGGTGATTAACTGACGCATTCCCTCACCCTTCTCCTCCTGAGGGTCTGAAATTCTGCCTCCCTCCTTCCTGGTGGTTACCTTTGTCTCCTCCCTCTCTGGAAGGTGACAAGGACCAGATGTCCCCTACAGGGCAGTGTCAGCAGAGACCAAAGGCACTGTGTCCATGGCAGCCTGAGGGGCTCAAAGAGCCAAGCGCCCATGGAAGGATGAATGCACACGCCCTGTGGCTTATCACACACTGGAATATTACTGAGACAAGAAAAGGAAGGCCATTCTGACACCTGCTACAGATGGACCCTGAGGACACGGTGCTCAGTGAAATCGGCAGACACAGGACATGCACTGCAGGACGCCACTCTCAGGAGGTCCCTACACTCACAGAGCCACAGAGACAGCAAGTAGGATGGTGGCGCCAGGGGCGGGGGAGGGGAGGGAAGTTGGTGTTGAATGGATGGAGCTTCAGTGTGGGGAGACGGAAGGTTCTAGAGATGGACGGTGGGGATGGCTGCACAGCCACGTGCACATATTAAACGCCTCTGAGTTGCGTACTCAAAAATAGTAAAACAGGCAAATGTTATGTTTTGCTGATGTTCCCACAATTGAAAAAGGAGAGGGGGGGTCGTGAATCTGAGCTGCCATGGAAAGGGAAGAGCAAAAAGCAGGGGTGAGGGGGAGGGGGCGGAGGCCACAGGTGTGAATGACCTCAGCTGTGGCAGCCTCATTGCCACCAGGGCCAGCCACAGGTGACAGTGACGCCAGTGTGTGGAGGATGAACTCACAATCACACCTCCCCTTCCCAGCCAACTCGCCTCACTGCAGTCACCCTCCTTACCCCACTTCAGGAAGCCAAGCAGAGGTCTGCACCCTCCCTGGATCCTATTAACCCAAGTGCCTTTAGTGAGCACCTACTGTGTGCCCTGCTTGCCATAATCAGTGGGGACCGAGCAGTGAACAATAGACACAAGTCTCCTCCGCCAAGAAGTGAGAGAAGTCTTCTGTGCTGGGGGCAGATTTCAAACAAGTGGTCCCATGAGGCTTCACGGAGGACTCAACTCTAAAAGGATGCCGGGAGGGAAAGCAGTGCAAGTAGGTAGGGAGCACACACTCCAGGTGGAGGGCACAGCCTGTGCAAAGGCCCTGGTGCAGGGTGGAGTGTGGGGCTGGAGCAGAGGGAGCCAGGGGGACAGAGGGAAGAGGGAGGCAAGGAGGGGACAGATGGAGTCTTTGGAATTCATTCTGCTCTTTTTTTCTTTTTTTCCATAGAGATAGGAAAGCTCCCACAGGAAAGGAGGGGTCCTGAGTGGACTGCCCTCATTCTGCACTTTACAGACTACTTGTTCCCTGCCCCAGGGCCTTTGCACACACGCAGGCTTCTCTCCCTCCTGACCCGCTGCTTCCCTCTCCTCCCGGATCACCTGGGTAACCCTTCCTCTTCCATTCCCAAGACCCCACCCACACCAGAGGACCCGGGCAGGGACCAGAGCTGTGCAGTTGAAGCTTTTGTTGTGGCATTACCCAGCACAGAGTCTGGCTCACATTAGGCATTCATGAAAGACAAGGGGTAGTGAGTGTGGTTTGGGCATCCCTCAGGCAAGCCTGTCTGCCCTCCTGGAGCCACTGGTCAGTTCCCATCCCAGCCCTGCCCTGGAATTGCGCTCAGGCCAGTGGCTTCCCTTGTCTGGCCTCAGTTTCCCCATCGAGAAGGTTCCACCAGGATTAGAGGGTGAAGTCACGCCTCTGCTGAAGTGTGTGGGAGGGCAGGTCTAGTCCCATCCTTCCCCTGGGCTGCAGGACCCCTGTTGGGGTCGTCGTGTGGTGTGTGTGTCTCCCATCCCCCCACCCCCACCCCAGTCACTGAGGCCAGAGGTTTGGCCACCTTGAGGTGGACCCTGGAGGGCTGTAGGAAGGGGGGAGGGCTCCAGGTGTGGTGGGTCCCCAGAGACCTAGAGCTGTGACAGCATCTCTTCCCCAGCTCCAAGCCCCTAAGCTGGGTGGGGAGTTTTAGGGCAAAATAAACACATGTGTCATTTACATAAAATCTGCATCAATTAGCATATCCATTACAAAAGTCTACAGACCCAGGCAAGGAGGGAAATAGTAACTTTGATGGCAAAGAAAGCCCACAACCTCCCTAGGGGAGGGACTGTCACACACCCACCCGGGTTTATGCTGGAAAAAACAGGACCGTGGAGGGGGAGGCTTGGCAGGATCTCTGGCTCCTCTGGGCCTCCTCAGCCAGTAAGGAAATGAGCAATGCCTAAAATAATTTCAGCTCATTATAAGGACCGGGAAGAGAGGAGAATAAGGGGCCACAGAGGTCTCTAAGATCAGGGAGGGCTTTGGTGAGGCAGTGACATTTGAATTGAGACGCAAATGATTTTTGTAACCATAGGGAAATCTGGGGAAGGCACAGCTGGTGCAAAGGCCCTGGGGTGGGACCGAGCCTGGCATGTTAGAGGATCATTCAGGAGGTGACCATACCAGTCTGTGAGAATGCTAAAGGGACCCAGACCAGGGCAAGGGCACCAAGGTGGACAGAACGGAGAGATTCAAGACGCATTTTGGATGCAAGGACACAAGACTTGGAGCGTCCCCTCCAGGCCCCTCCACAGCCTGGCTCTTCCCTCTGTACCTCCCATCTGCCCTTGGCTCAGCTCCTATCACCTCCTCCTGTGATTGTCCCCTGGGATTCCCTGGGAGTCCTTGACTCCCCCAGCTGCCCAGAGCCCAGCATGGCACAGAAGGAC